AAACACGCAGATTTGGTTTAGCAGACTTTCCATCTTGTTCATTATGTGATACTGACGGTATGTGCGGTGACTATTTAGACACTTGTTCCGGAGTTAACGACGTGGCAACGGCTATTGCTGTCAAAAATTATTGTACTTTTCTAATGTTTCTCATCTTTATTGGGCGGCCCGTCACAGACTAGGTGTTGATGCCTAGATCTGGAGTAAGACAAAAAAAAAATTGCTTAATTGATGGCTGGAATAAAGAAGATAAATAGTTGCTTAAATATTAGTTTGTTAGCTGCTGTTGAAAATAGTTAGAATTAAAAAAAGAAAATCTGAAAGGTTTCAGATTTTAAATTACGTCCAAAGGGGCGCTTTTTTAAGGGGACTCACACACATTAAAACCCATAAGATGTTCGAATAGGTGACTGTTGCAAGAATTGGGATAACTTATTTATTTTAAAAGCAATTACTACCATTTTTTTACAGCTGACTACATAATATAGCTGCTTTCTGAAATAGTAATCAGAAAGTTTGTGTTGCCACAAATGTTTTTATAATTTAATACGCTTTGTGACAACATTTTTCTTCATGTTTTCAACTTGCGCGCACAGTTTGAAACATTTTGTTTCATAATTTAATTCCATATTTCATATATAGCTTTTATAACATTTGGAAACTACTCGGAATCTGAAATTCTAAAAATTTCATGTTTAATTTTTATTTTATTTTGAGTTGAGTTTATAAAATGTATTTTATTAAAAAAAATTTAATCTTTTCGCTCATAAAATTATTTAATATTAAAATATTCATCAAATTTTTGGGTTCAGGTAGAAGATAGTGTCCATGTAAAAAATTCCATCAACTTTCAAGTATGTACCATTAGCCATTTTTAAAATACCATGCGCGCTAGGTGGAAATATGACGAAATATTTTGCCACAAAGTGGATTAAATTACAAACATATTTGTGGCAACACAAACTTTCTGATTAGTATTTCAGAAAGCAGCTATATTATGTAGTCAGCTGTAAAACGTTTGAAGTAATTGCTTTTAAAATAAATAAAATATCCCAATTCTTGCAACAGTCACATATTCGAAGATCATGAGTTGTTTAAAGTGTATGAGTCCCCTTAATGTTCTGTGTGTTACTTTTATTTATTAAATATCATGCTCTTTGCACTTAAACCATAACGTTCAGTTCAATAGCAATGTCGCAAAATAATTTTAAAATGAGCGTATCTTTAGAATTTCCGATACACAGTTCCACGCGAGATAAAAAAACAAGATAAAATGGTTTCTGCCCCCCCCTTCGTAGAGTGTTGCCATGGCTCGCTTTGAAATCCTTGAGTTTGTTAATCAAAAAGTTAAAAGTTTTACAAAATATGAAATCGATGATAAAACAAATTCCAAATTTTAAATTTGGTCTTCCGCATGCCCATATTCGTAGGAAGATTACGTCATTCAAAATTCGATGGCTCTATGGAGCGTTGTTTTATCACAAAGAGAGAAATAGACATACATTTATGCAGATTTTTCCTTATTTAATTTCTTCAAATATAATGCAAGGCTCTAACATTTAGTGGCAACAATTTGAAAAGTGAAACGAACATTTATAGTGATTCAACGCAAAATCGCGAAACGAAAACAATAGTCCTTCAGGGACAAAGCCTCTTTTTAACTAAAAAAAAAAAATTGCAGCGTCTTTGCTTTGCTACGCTACCAATATAATACCAGTGAGAAATATAAAGAAACCTCGAGCATAAAGTATCCGTGCTTTTAAGATGCACGCTATGTTAATGTTAATGGAACGGTTTGAAATCACTGAGTTTGTTAATCAAAAATTCGTTAAAGTTTCACAAAATATGAAATAAATAATAAAAAATACTTAAAATAAATTTCAAATTTGGGCTTCCAGATGCCCATATTTAAATGGAGGACTACGTTATCCAAGATTTGATGCCTAGGTACCGTCGTTTTTTCACAGCGCGAGAAACGGTGGGTGGGTATTTAATTATGCAAAGCTCACTAGGGCTATCTGCCTAAGGGGAGGGATGCCTTCGTTGAGGACTTCGAAGGGAAACTGGCTCGTATACATGTTACACATGGGGAAAACCACGAAAACACCCATGCAGCCAGCCCGTTCGCGGGAATCGAACCTCGGACCGAACTACCAGTGTTCGGCGACTTTACCGCTCGGCCGCTGGTGGGCACCACAGCGAGAGAAACATGCATACATTTACGCAGATTCTTTTCTTCATTATTTAATTTCTTTAAATATAGTACACGACTCAAATATTCGATGGCAACAATTTGGAAAGGGAATGAGACTTTCATAGTGAACCAACGCAAAATGCCAAAACGAAATTAATAACCTTTCTGGGCTAACGCCCATTTGAATTCTTAGGTTGGTGGATAATGCTATTACATTATGTGGTTTAGTTTATCATTTGGCAAATATTTAAAATATATGAAAAATATATGAAAAAACATTCCTAAAACCAGCTGTAAATGTTTAAACAATTAATGAGTCTTTATCTCTGCATAGTTATTTTCAGCTTTTGTCTACTTCGACATGATACTTTGTCAATAAATCCAGATTAGTATTATTGCATGGGTTTAAACTTAAACTCTTGATTAATGGGCATGAGAAGATTGACTGAATAAAACAAGGCGCTGAAGGTTAACCTATTAAAGCAAAAGGGAAGTCTAAGGGAAAGAAAAAGATGAATATTTTAAAGGGATTATTTCTTATTTCTTTAAATGTGTAAGAAACCAAGAAAGTTAAGGGGGCTGATACACTTTAAACCCCTTACGATCTTCGAATATGGGACTGTTACAAGAATTAGGATTTTTTTTTTTTTTTTTTTTTGTTTTAAAAGCAATTACTTCCAACGTTTTACAGCTGACTACATAATATAGCTGCTTTGGGAACTAGTTGCCACAAATATGTTTGTAATTTAATCAACTTTGTGACAAAATATTTCGACATATTTCCACCTAGCGCGCATGATATTTTAAAAATGGCTAATGGTATATACTTGAAAGTTGATGGAATTTTTTACATGGACACTATCTTCTATCTGAACCCAAAAATTTGATGAATATTTTAATATTAAAAAATTTTATGCACAAAAACATTACAGATTTTTTTAATAAAATACATTTTATAAACTCAACTTAATTTTATAAACTTAACTTCTTAAATAAAATAAAAATTTAACCTGAAATTCTTAGAATATTTGGTTCAGAATAGTTTGCAAATGTTATGAAAGCTACATATTAAATATGGAATTAAATTATGGGACAGAATGTTTTAAACTGTGCACGCAAGGTGGAAGCATGACGAAAATGTTTGTCACAAAGCAGATTAAATTATAAAAATATTTGTGGCAACGCAAACTTTCTGATGACTATTTCAGAAAGCAGCTATATTATGTAGTCAGCTGTAAAAAGTTGGAAGTAATTGCTTTTAAAATAAATAAGTTATCCCAACTCTTGCAATAGTCACATATTCGAAGATCTTATGGGTTTTAAGGTGTATGAGTCCCCTTTTAAGTACGTTTTGTTGGAATTTGAACTCGGATTGAAATACCAGTATTCAGCGATCTCATGCATTCTGCAGTTAGTGGATTCAACACAAAAGCGAAAACCAGGAACATCGCACGAAAACAAGGGTTGAAATCTAAGACAAACTACCAGTGTTTATCGGTTTTAGCCGTTCAGCTACTGCTGAATGTTACATGTTCTGGAAAAAAATATTTCATATTAAATCTGGAAATAAGCATAAACTTTCAAAATCATGTATTGCGAAATATTTAGGTAGAGTAATTGGGTTATATAGATGCTAGAACGTGAAAAGTATGCAACGCTTTCGCTTAAATTCGATCTCCGAATCTCCCGAATACGCCTCGAGCGTGTTTCCAGTTACACCTCGAAGGCATGTAAAAATTAGGGAGAAGATACCTTATTTCTCTCTCCTGTTTTTGATGAAATTTATATTACTTTAAACAAACAGGTCGAACTTGAAAATTAAATAATACCGCGTGTAAAAACTTGATTTGCTTATTCATAGCTGCTGTTTGCTGGTACTTCTGTTAGCAAAATTCTAAAATTAGATGGTTTACTAAATTAACCCATTAACTACCAAATGATTTCCCCTCAATTTATATTTATTTCTCGGTGTCTAGATTGACATAGAGACTGGGAATTGGGATATAAATGGGCTGTAGATGGAATCTACCATGAAGCCCCAAATAGGGACGAACATTCAAGTAGCATTAACAATAAATAGTAAGCAAATATAGTCTAAAACCATTAGAAAACACGGAAGTATATAGGAGTTGGAGATGATTTGCATAATAATATGACATACCGAGTTTTGAAAATGTTGAAACCTTGAAACTCACAAAAATTGTACTTCTGCTCACAAATAATACTCTTGAACTCACTCATTTAACAACTACGGCTCAACAACTCATGCAAAAGCTTGTGAAGGGTTTAAACAACAATGTAGAAAAGTAACCATTGTTGTCAACCTTAATTAAAGTTACTAAATTTCTGCTATTAAGACAGACAAATTCTGCTGTTAAGACAAATCCCCCAAATGGGAATCTTGGAAGTTAATGAGTTAACTGTAATTATCAGATTCCTGATCTAACAAAATAAATATAAGAGTAGGAATGAAAAAAGCATGTATTTACCTTTCCCTGTCTAAAAATTCCAATAAATTTTCGAACATCAATGGCAATAAATTAATATGTTAAACACTATATTCCTCATCGGAAGATGTCGGAGATAAAAAGCAAAAAATCTATCAAGGTCAAAATTTACATCGAAGAAGATGCTCTCTTGACCTTGACTTGCCACGTCGTTGGTTCCGATGTAATGCTAAAATATCAATGAGCTAATTTTAATGTGCTTCACGAAATGTTAAGAAGGAAGGGATCCATCGGATTGCGCAACGAAACGAAAATGTATTAGGTTACGCTAATGTACGCATCTATAAAAGGGAAATTCAGGAAGCGATTGCGTCCTGTCGCTTTTTGAGAGCTATCGGGGACACTTGTAATAATGAAGGTAAGCATGATGTTTTCCTATTATGTTAAATTTCTGAATTTGTTATAGATAACTGTATGAGTGGGAGGACTTTTACTGAGAGAAGTAAATTCATTAATTTTTTTATTACTTTTCGAAATACTTCTTCAGAGAAGGGTTCGGAATTTGCTCGGGTTAGTTAATTAATATAATATAATAACCAATTTTATAGCTTCGTTACAAAATTGTATACCGGTTCTTGTAGATATAAAAAAAATCATATTTTATCGAGGACTTTTCTTCTGTGAATGTGTTAATATTATACAGTACTTCACATGTCGTGGTCAAAGTCCTGCAACAACTTATTGGCAACATATTTTTCTCTCAGTTGAGTGTGTAGCTAAGGAAAATAGCTTTGTTCTTAAGCAATTATGAATATTCCATAAAAATAGAAACTTAATTTTTAATCCAAAGATGCAATTTGCCCAGAAGGACTATTAATTTCGGTTTGGCATTTTTCCGTTGATTCTCTACAAGTATAGTTTCACTTTTCAAATTGTTGCCACTAAATATTATTGCCCTGTATTATATTTAAATAAATTAAATAATGAAGAATCTGCGTAAATGTATGTGTGTTTGTCGCAATGGGATAAAACAACGGTACCTAGAGCCACCAAATTTAGAATAACGTAATCCTCCTGTTAATATGGGCATCTGGAAGCCCAAATTTGTAATTTGTAATTTGGTTTATTATCGATTTCATATTTTGTGAAACTTTTATGAATTTTTGATTAACAAACTCAAGGATTTCAAAGCGAGCAATGGCAACGTTGTATAGAAAAAACATTTATGCGAAAGACTGTGTATCGGAAATTCTAAAGATATGCTGATTTTAAAATTATTTTGCGATATTGCTGTTGAACTGAATTTTATTATTTAAGTGCGAAGAACATGGCATTTAATAAATAAAGCTAACACACAAAATATTAAAAAACCGTACGTAATTTAAAACCTGAAACCTTTCAGATTTTTTTGTCTTTTTGTAATAAAATACTTTTGAACATTATTATTACTCTTTTAACAAGCTATATAAAATTTTGCTTATTACTGTTATTTATTATTTATTAACAGATTACGCTAAATCTATTATCCTATATAGACAAATTACACTAAACCACACAGTTGACAGCTTAAAGCAGCATCGGAATATATGACTTTGTCTAAATTGTTTCTAATATTCATTGATGCTGCTTACGATAATGTCATTTGTTTCTGCCAACCGTAGAACATATCCAGCAGTAAAGTCGCTGAACACTGTTAGTTTGGTCTGGTGTTCGAATTCCGCTGAACGGACTTACTGCATGGACGTTTTGATGGCCTTTGCCATGCGTAAATTGTATATAAGAAAATTTCCCTTAGAAAGTTGTTCAAGAAGGCGACACTCCCTTATGCAGATAAACTTAGTGTGCTTTGCTATAGTAAATTAAACCGAAATTATAGAAGAATATTATGCATGTGAACATTTTAGTTCTTTAGCAGTTTATTTATCTTGCATATGAACTTTACCATTTCTACGACTTTTCTACTTTATCCGTTTCCCACTTACTACTGTCGAATGCATATTTCGTCCTTTGCCTAATAATATTTGTTTAATGAATCTCACCTTATCAGATTACATTATTCATCATGTTTAGAAAGTACAACACTGTTTCGGCCCTTTTTTATAATTTCTATTTCTCTGTTTCCTGCTTTATATATTTTTTGCTTTTTCTGTTTTGAACTTTACATTATTGGATGCACATTTCGGTATTTGCATAATGATAGGTACTGGAATGATCTAATTTGCTACGATCTTCATTTAGATTTTATATTTAGAGCAATTGGTTATTTAATATAATACTGAAACAAAGTTTAGCTAAATTAACGGAATTATGTACCAGTATTTTTAGAAATTCAGCTTAATATGTAAATAAGCTTGTCAGTAAACATAAAATTTTTGCATGCATTCATAGGCGATGTCAGATATCACCACATACCCCTTCCCAGTGTGGCTGAGAAGAAGAGATTAGCGCACTGACAGCTAGAAAATAAGTCATTATAATCCCAGTGCCTCAGCACAGCTGATTTTCATGTTTCCTCCTCTGAAAGTCTTAGTAGTCTTTGCATTGGCACCCGAACTAAAAATGCGGTAGAAATTAAGTCATCATCACCTGAATTTAGTCGACCGGATATCAGTCTTCTCCCCACAAGCTTGTTTATTGGAGGAGAATATAAAAAAAAAATACTTTATTCACCTATGCGTGCTCTCGGGGTGTAAGTGCTTAGCAGATTACACAGCTAGGTGAAGATTCGTGGCTGGAAATTTAGCGACAGCACATTTGATTTTTTTCATGTTCTCTGCTATAAGAAATCTAATGGTCTTAAATATGGTGCCTCAACTAAAATGCGATAAACAATAATAAGTTACTACGTGTATTTGTTCGACTGGATCACTTGCCTTTTCCTAGTCGCGTCTTGATGAAGTGTAAGAAATCTGATGTATAAACCACATGACTTCCTTGTAAGGAAATTAAATTATATGCATTTTTTCTTGCATTTCATTTAAACTTATTGAATTAAATCTACAAGCCGACAGCGCATAAACCCCAATAGAATAAATGCATTCTTTAAAATTCACTCTAGTATATGTTTACCATAGCGACAAATAGAGAATGCACGTATAGAGAATGCACAAAATTTATATCATTTAAAGAATAGAATTATATAATCGTTGCCACATGTTTTATTCAAATACTATAATAAAGCTAGAATGATGTATAAAAGAAATTAAGCAAAAAAAAAAACAAAAAAAACAAAAAAAAAAAAAAAAAAAAAAAAAAAAAAAAACAAAAAAACAAAAAAAAAAAAAAAAAAAAAAAAAAAAAAAAAAAAAAAACAGTTTTTTTCACAGACGATTGAGTATTTTTTCTCATTCAATTAATTAGTTCTCACTTCGCGATAAGGCAAAAATACATAAAAACTCAAAATATCTATATTAAAAATTACGAAGTAAATCTTAAACACTTATTCCATCGAAAAAATTCCAGAAACGATTAAGCATGATTTAATTGGCAATAATAAATGAAGACGTTATCTTTGTTGTTGCGAAGCTAAGTTTCTATAGATTGGCAACAAATCCACTAGTCTGCTGTTTCAAATGTAAACAATCAATGGCCGCCATAAAAAAAAAAGGCTTAGCGGCACTTAAACAAAAAAACTTCAAAATTGTTGATAACTCTAAAATATTGCATACAGATTTACTAAATAAAAGGGCATAAAAAACCTTAACGGAAGATAAAAACAACATAAAATTAAATTCAATCATAATCATTTTTAAAGCAAAAAATGTACGATTTACAAAACATATACGAGTAAAGAAACTGAGATCACTGAGCCGGGTAACAGAGTGGATATATATATAAATTATTTATATACGTTTGTGTGCGGGCCGATTGCAACCAAATGCGAGGTGCACACATCTACATGTTATAGCAGTCCTATATACAAAATTTCAACGTTCTGAGGCTACTCGTTTTTGACTTAAGCGAGATACGTACGTAGATACGTACGTTCATACGTTCGTACAGACGCCACGAAAAATTCTCTTCATTAATTTTAAAGCAGTTTTATAATTTTTTTGAGGAAACGAGTCAAAATGGATAGCGGTCAAAATGGATATTTTCGTTGAAATATGCTGCCTGAAACTTTTCGCTATTACAATACTTCCTTTTTACTTCGTCCAAGCAAGTAAAATGTAACGCTTTCTAATGTGCACCATTTTGCGGTGGGTGTCATTAACACATCTACTATATAGCACCGTAAGATCCGTGTTTCAAAGCCCGCCGAAAATGCAATTTTATTTCAGTATTTCTTAGTTGGAAAAATGAATTTCCTCTCCTGTGTGATAAACTGTTATAAACTGATAATTTTCTTGCGGCCTTCTCAGAAAATCTTCTAAAAAATCTTTAATTTTCATAAAGGGTTCTTTTATATTTACAAAACCTTTGCATTACAGGTGCTGATTCTTCTTGCATTAGTAGCGGCATCCCAAGCCGCGGCCGTGGTATATCACCCTGCCTGGTGGCCGGCTGCATCTGCATACCAAGCAAAGGATGTAAGTTCCAAGTCTATTTGTGTTCTGTACATTCTGATAAATGTGTGAAACGTCTAATCTATGCTACGCATTTTAGTTATTCGTATTTAGTTTTTACGAAGAGGAGGAAAGCCTAATAAAAGCCTAGCTTAACCACTGAACACAGGGGGGTTAAACAATTGATCTAGTAATAATGACCGAAAGGTGGCTGCAGGGTTCATCAAATGTACAGCTGAGCAGGAAGAAAAACTTAAAAACTAGCTAGAAAATTAGAATCCCAGAATCCCTTGTTCCAAATTCATTCATAACGCTTATTCTGCAAGTACCAATCTTCCGATCCTGTTAGAAAAATCAGTAACCGCGAACAATCAATTATGTGAACTCACAGCCGGCAATGGAAACAGAAAATTGCCCAAAAGTTGACCAAAACCACCAATTGGTCCAGAAAGGAGAGCTAAGAACCTGTATCGAAAGTAATTTGGTAACTTGCAACAAATTTTGTGGGGGTTGTAGTCCCGGCGAAAAATCAGGTATCAGAAACGCAAAAAGGCTTTGCACTTAGAGCGAACTGTATTATTTTATTAGCAACTAAAAATTCGCAATGACAGAAGCTGACCGTCGATATGTCATAATTAATGGGTCAATCCAGTTCCAGTCCTTCGAAATTGTAATTTTTTTTTTGATTCGTTTTCGATTTTTCATCAGATGCGCGTTTGTCACTTGCTTGCTCATTTAATACACGTATGTGGGGGGGTGCAACCACAATTTTGAAAATTTTTGTTTGAAGAATAACGACCAGCTATAGTAAGGAAATGGAGAAGAATGGATTAGTCAGAAAGTGAAGTCACATTGGCTTTTTTAGCCCAAAGAGGGTTGGTAAACCCAAAAGGGCTAAGTCTATAAAAGCGCAGTGTGGCGTTTCAAAACCAAAGCAACGAACAGTTTAAAAACAAGTGCTGTCAGCAAAATATCATCCGAATAGCTGTAAAGAAATTAAAGAATGAAGATCTGATGAGAATATCTGAATGAATTTATGTTGTTCTCCATGTGTGAAGAAACGACGGTACCTAGTGCCATCCATTTTGATAACGTAGTCTCAACCGAACATGGGCATCTGGACACCCGAATTTTGAATTCGAATTTTTAATTATCGATTCATATTTGAGACATTGAGCTTTTTTATAATGAACTCAACGATTTCAAAGCGAGCAATGGCAACATTAGGGAAAAAATCATTTTTATCTTTAGCCTGCGAGACTATCTATCGAAAATTCTGAAGATATGCTGTTTTATAGCATTTTGTGATGTTGCTGTTGAATTGAATCTTATATAGTTTAAGGGCGAATACCATAATATTTAATAAATAAAGCTAGCACACAAAACGTTAAAAAAAAAGACCTTTGGGAGTAAGTTAAAATCTGAAAGCTTTTAGATTTTTTTCCTCTAATTTTCATCTGCTATGAAATCTTTCGAATATAATTTATTGCTTTTGGAAACTACAGATTCATAACAGATATCGTATTCGCGATGCAGAAGTATCTGAGACAGAGTACGTGTTGCCATTCTCGAATTAAAAAAATCGGGCTCAATTTTGTAATTAAATTAAGCTTGTAAAGTTGTGCACTTCCAACCTGCACGCAACAAAGTGGTGACTGCTGAGAACTGGAAATAGACCAAAGTCTTGAGAAGGGTTTAAATCACTTTTTATTCAACTTTAGAAATTACAAATGCGTGCTCTTGACGCTCACAAAATACGCCGACCCGGCGGTAAAATAAAAATAAGAAACTGAAAAGAGATAATAACAAGTGACTAACTACGAGGCTCTCTAAACGTAACTAACCTCACCGCGTTCTAAAATACCGCTGATAATTCAGCAACTCTGAATATTACGTTGAAAGATTAACAATTTGCCTAGGCAAGCACACAGGCCGAAACGCGTGGTTCTTCAATTTCTAACTAGCCACCTCCACACTCGTGAAGCAAGAAAGCACACTTTCGAACTCGTTTCCTTTCTATTTAACTCAGAATACTTCCGCTGATAATTTGAATCCTTGAGCGTTCTATTAAAATTTACATACTCTGGCATTGGCAATTCCAGGGGAAAGTAAGGCTTGACAGGAAAGATAGTTTAAACTTAAAATAAGTGTTAATTAAAATAAATATAAACCCTACAAGCTACCTCTATGATATAGCGTAAAATAAACATTTGTGCCTTTGAATAAAAAATACCAGTAATACGACAAACAATGGGAGCAGTTAAAATGTCTAAAATTTTCCTGTTAGTCTAAGTGACATACTCTTAGGAATCAGTCCATAACGCTTTTTTCACAACTCATTTCAAGCGTTCAGATTTATGAAAAGATGTAAACAGGCTGATTTCTTTTATGATGACAAAGTGAATTTACTATTCTGCCAACTGCCAATTTAGAAAGAAAAATGTCTTTTCTGTGAAAATTTCCCACGGTGAGCAATTGTGTTAAGTAGCCAAATGATTTACGAACCAGTTTTGACATATTGTTGAAAATGATGGCCGGCTGAAGTGCTTTTATCTTCTTTACTGTTTGTTTTAATCATGAATTTTAGATAGCAATTATAGATTGCGAATGGTCTAACTTCTTTCCCCAGTAGCCTTTCACCTTTATAAATGAATGCTAATTTTCTATTTTTTCCAGTTTTATAAATTATTTATGATATCGTTATGATGTTCTCCTTAGATATGTTATAAAGCAGCTTTTCAATGAGAGACGAACTTTGTATATTTATATTTTGTTTATATTTTGTTTTATATTTTGTTTTTGATTGTTAATTATTCGAAGAAAATGTAACTTTTGCAAGAAAAAATATTCTGTGTGATATTTTTTGGCATTTGGGAATGCATTTCGCTTCCATCAACCTTTCACTAATTTGTTTATTTATACTCCATGTAAATTTTTTTTTTTTCAATACCGACTGATTTTAAACTGTGAATTTAATTTTTCTGTGACTCCCTATTGCTTGAAATTAACAAAAATAAGAAGCTTCCTAGAAGGTAATATTTTTAACAAACAATAAATAACATTGTTTTACTTTTCATGAAGTTAATTATTTTTAAATCAATTTTACCTTTTTGGTAACTCAAATAAACGAATACAGAGGCTGTTCGCACATTTTTTAGACGATTATGGTAAGCGGTAAAAAAAATCTTTTGCTGCAAAAGAAGTAATTGCAATTGTACTATGTTTTTAAATGTCAAAATTATCGTTTGTGGCTTGAAAGTTTTCTTTTTATTCAAATGGAGAATTTAACAAAGCAGTGGTTCGAAGGCTACATTTACGCTCTTTCCGAAGAGAAATATGCATACTCCGTTATCCAAAAACGATGCGAGAGTCATGGTTTTGTGATATCTAAAGCGTCGATAGGTAATATCATCAACAAGAAAGGAAAAAAAACGTCAAATTGGAGCCTCAAGTGGGACAAAAATTCCAAACAAGTATCCAAGGAAAAAACGGACATCTTCGACTATTGCAAAGGTACGTTGTTTAATGTTAAAAGAAAATCCCCCTAGTCAGAGGACAGTTGCAAAATCATTAAAATGCTCGGTGTCCAATGTAAACAAAATGATAAACGTTGATTTAAATCTTAAGAAATCGAAAAAACGCAATGTGCATCGTCTTCTTCCAAAGCATATCGCTCAACGCAGGACACGCTGCAGAATTCTATATGAGAAACACTCATCCAAAGAAAAATGGAAGACAACTGTCACAATAGATGAAGCATGGGTGTATTTAAATGATTGTAACGAAAAAAAGAGCCATTTATTACCATAAAAAGGGAGAAAAAAATTTAAATACATGGTTCAAAGAAACGAAAGAAAGTTTTTCTGAGGGATTCATGATTGCTGCTGGGTTTTCTTATAATGGCAAGTTAAAAATAAAGAGAGTACAAAAAATGTCAAGATTAACTCCAGATACTATCAGGAACATATTTTATCGCCAATTGTTTCTGAATGAAATACCATCGCTTTACCCACAGTGCCATCAATCTGTGAGACTTTATCAGGACAAAGCTAGCAGTCACACATCAAAATCCACTGTAAATTTCCTAAAAGAAATGGAACAAAAATCTGGTATCAAGGCCATACCCTTCACTGATATCAGTAAAAAATCTCCCGATGTGTCACCTATGCATTTTTGTGCTTTCGGACGTTTAAAAACTGCATTATCCAAACGTTGTCCCAAAACCCTAACAGGACTCTGGAAAGCTGTTCGGGAGGAATGGGATAGAATATCTCTTCTGCCACTTCAAAAGGCATTATTATCCTGAAAATTGCGGTGTCGAAAGATAGTTCAGAATAAGGGATGTCAAATAGAACATTTAAATAACAAGAATCTTATGTAATTTAGTTTTGTGAATACAATATACATCGTCTAAAAAATGTGTGAACAGCCTCTGTACTTATGTAAAATTTGAAAAAAAAAAAAAAAAAAAAAAAAAAAAAAAAAAAAAAAAAAAAAAAAAAAAAAAAAAAAAAGATAATTTAAATAATATTTAGAACGTTAATAATTGGGAATAGTCTGAGTTAAAATTCTGCATTTTTGATTTATATACTATTGCATTAACATTTATGCTTGTTATTTTTTTTTAGGTTCTGTTTACTATTATGTAGTTTTTTATTTAATCTCCTGGCTAAATAATTAACATTTCCTTCAGTTTTAATGAAAAATAACGATATTCGTTAACAAATTTAACAACTGCCGGGTGGCTTGGTTGTCTCTCTGTAGAGCTTTGTTGTAGTTTTGACTGATCTATCTTGTCTGGTATTGGCGCAAGACGACGAAATTCATAGTGGCAAGGAGCCAACATTGAGCCTGTCGTTGACAAGAGCCTTGGCATCCATACGACACTACAACTTTGCGCAACTCCACACATAATTTTGAAGGAGGACACCACAGGGGGTACGCGTTCGAGAGTCTCCCACCCTTTCCCCCACCACAAATCTATGGAGGTAAGAAAGGTAAGCTAACTTCCTACCTCCATGCAC